CAACACACTCAGTCATCAAGCACCAATTCAAAGTGGATTTGAAAGCTACCCATACCCCCAAAAGATAAAACCTTCCTCTTGCTACTCTGCCATAACAAACTTTTCACAAATCATTACCTTCACTCTATTGGCATACTTCCTAACATATCACGGCAAAACCTAATAAAACAACGATGTAGCGGAGAACAAGAACCAAGAACAATCACAAGATAACCTATCTGTTGCGGCGTAAAATCCGACCCCATTATCAATACCAATAATAATCACTATCGTTTCCGCGTGCAACCCGATCCAAATATCAACAACCAATACCGTTGCGGCCCGATCCTAACATCAATACCAATAATAATCACTACCGTTGTGGTATGTAACATGATCCCAATATCAATAACCAATATCGTTACGATATGCAACCCGATCCCAATATTAATACCAAATACTATTACAGCGTAAAACTCGATCCCAATATCATTTTATTTGAAATTACCTAATAATAACCAAATATGGCTAAACTCACAACATAACATAAAATAGAAATAAAATTCATAATTCACCAAGGATATACGAACACGAATGAAGAATGTCATACGATTCAATGTTGAAGGACTAGCCTCACAATATATACATGTCAATAAAGACTTCAACAAGTCGTAAACACGAGAATAATCTAACAGTCATACAATTCGATATAGAATAGCAAAGTAAGATAAGAAAACAAGTAAATGCAAGAAGGCAAATAAAGGCATCTAGTTATTAGATTTATATCTATATCTCCTATATCTATATGTCTATATATTATATTAAAAGCATGAATGCCCTTAGCAAAATATCGTTCGTCCTTTTATCCGCTTTATATACATTAATATAGGGTATACGCGCATCACGCGAATCTTAAGAGCCTTCATTTGAAAAGGGATAAAAAAGACGAATGATATTTCTCTACGGGTCTTCGTGCTTTTAATATATATATATATATATATATAAATATATCATAAACAAAATGGAACAATACCAACTTAATTTCCTTTGGGGTACTACTCAAACGAGGAAGAAATTCCATCTTCTAAACTGGAAATTGGTTACTCAGCCAAGAAAGCGGGGGTCTGGGTATACAACAACTACGACATAAAAATAATGCTCTACTTGCTATCCTAGCTTGGTAACTTTTTCAATCACCAAAATCTCTTTGGGCTACCCTACTACTACACAAATGCGTACATGCCACTACAGTAACAAATCACTCACACACTTGGCGTAATATCATTAAGGGTGGGAACATTGTCAATTTGGTATTCAATAAAAAATTAGAAACGGTCAGCACATCAATCTTTGGAACGATCCCTGGGTTGGAGCAGGTACAACTCTACGATCTCTCATACAAGGACCACTACCATACAATCATCAAGCACTAAAAGTCTCCATATGTTTAACCTCGTTGGGATGAGATTGGGAAAATATTACTTGCCATCTGCCTCAAGTCGTTATGAACAAGATTCCTACTCCATATATTTCCATATACTCGCAACCATCTGACCGCACCTATTAGGCCATACATCCTTCAGGTAATTTTACAGTAAATTCCATGTATCACGCCCTATTTGTTGCTAATCAACACACTCAGTCATCAAGCACCAATTCAAAGTGGATTTGAAAGCTACCCATACCCCCAAAATTTAAAACCTTCCTCTTGCTACTCCGCCATAATAGACTTTCCACAAATCATTACCTTCACTCTATTGGCATACTTCCTAACATATCACGGCAAAACCTAATAAAACAACGATGTAGCGGAGAACAAGAACCAAGAACAATCACAAGATAACCTATCTGTTGCGGCATAAAACCCGATCCCATTATCAATACCAATAACAATCACTACCGTTGCCGCGTGCAACCCGATCCAAATATCAACAACCAATACCGTTGCGGTACCCGATCCCAACATCAATACCAATAATAATCACTACCGTTGTAGCATGTAACCTGATCCCAATATCAATAACCAATACCGTTACGGCGTGCAACCCGTTCCCAATATTAATACCAAGTACTATTGCAGCGTGAAACTAGATCCCAATATCATTTTATTTGAAATTACCTAATAATAACCAAATATGGGTAAACTCATAACATAACATAAAATAGAAATAAAATTCATAATTCACCAAGGATATACGAACACGAATGAAGAATGTCATATGATTCAATGTTCAAGGACTAGCCTCACAATATATACATGTCAATAAAGACTTCAACAAGTCGTAAACACGAGAATAATCTAACAGTCATACAATTCGATATAGAATAGAAAAGTAAGATAAGAAAACAAGTAAATGCAAGAAGGCAAATAAACGCATCTAGTTATTAGATTTACATCTATATCTCCTATATCTATATGTCTATATATTATATTAAAAGCATGAATGTCCTTAGCTAAATATCGTTCGTCTTTTTATCCGCTTTATATACATTAATATAGGGTATACGCGCATCACGCGTATCTTAAGGGCCTTCATTTAAAAAGGGGTAAAAAAGACGAATGATATTTCGCTACGGGTCTATCTTTTTTTAATATATATATATATATATATATTAAAAAAAGATAGATAGATAGCATAATTTTGCCCTAATTTGTTGCTCATAAATTAACTTTCTAAAATTAATCTAAGAAAAAAATAGAAAAGATATTTGGAGGTAATGTTTTAAATTTGAGCTCATTTGGAGTAGATTTAGATGTTAAATCGTGTATTAGATTGTTAAAATTCGAAAAACACGTTTCTATTTCTATGCAATTTACATTTCAGACCTATTTGGCCTAAAGTGCATAAAAACATTGGTTGCACATTAGGCCTATTTTGACCTTAAATGCATAAAAATATTTATTGCACTTTAGATAAGTACAAATTTTACACTAGAGACTTAATTGGCCTTAAGTGAATTATAATTTAGATTAATTATTTTTTAATTTCAGACCCAATAAGTATGAAGTTGATCCTAAAATGGATAAACATATAAATTTTTGTGCAAAGTGAGTATAACTTCAATTGTGAGCCCAAAATATAGATGCAAATACCCCAAGCTAACAAATGGACTAACAGATGTGGGCTTCTGAAAGGTCATATAATATTCCCGGCCTAACTGCTAATTAAGAGCCCAATGTTGTGAATCATTCAATCTTCAATTCAGACGATCCCAAAACCTAACTTCTAGAACCCATTTTTATCTTGCTCCATTACAAAATCGCCGGCCCACCACCAGTTTTATTCAAGTTGCCACTTTTTAGCTTTTAGGTCCACAAAATTTCCTCTGCTCTGAGAGTTGAGAGGCAAAGAAGCTGAGAAAATTTTCGCTATATTTTATTAAAAAAGAGCTCAATTTGTAGTTTTGAGTCCAGACAAGTATTTCTTCGTAGCTAAAACGTCAAAGTTCGTTTGCCTCACTATTTTTCTTTTTTCTAATTTCCGGTTTTGTACATGTTGTATGGTTTATTATTATTATTGTTTGATTGATTTGTTTTAGGTTTGTGGAGTATTAGTGAAAGATGGGTTGTTTTAAGAGGAAGTCGCAAGAATTCTGCAATAAGGGTAACATTATATCACCTCCAAGTAAACAACTGAAACAAAATGGTTCAGTGGGTGTGGGTGAGGAAGTGGTATGTGTGCATGATGTATCATACCCGGAAGGCTATGTCCCCTCTGCTTCTTCAACTTTGCCTCAAGTAGACTCAACACCTGCTAAGGAGTTCCCTTTTACTCTCGACCCTTTTCAATCTGAAGCTATCCATTGCCTTAATAATGGTGAATCCGTCATGGTAAGTTTTCATTTTTCCCCATAGTTAGTTTTTTATCAATCAATGGAGTAGGCTGGCAGCCAGTAATACATTGTTCATATAGCCACACCAGCTTGTTTGACATTGAGGCGTAGTTGTTGTCTACATGAATCAATCGATCAATCAAATAAGTCTCCATCCTGAATTAGTTGTGTTCTCTATTCGGGCCGGGATCATTCCAGTAAGAGATAATTTGTCATTTAAGGCAAATTATGCTTTCTATATTCTCTAAACTTTCACACTTATCTCACATAACGTTAATTAGATATATTGTATATTTAATGGTGATGGGACTGAATTTGAAGTTGTGGCTGTAGGTATCAGCACATACGTCAGCGGGAAAGACAATTGTTGCGTTGTATGCCATTGCCATGTCGCTGAAGAATAACCAGCGAGTAGTATATACTTCACCAATTAAGGCTCTTAGTAATCAGAAGTATAGAGAATTCAAAGAGGAGTTTTCAGATGTGGGTTTGATGACAGGAGATGTCACCATTGATCCAAATGCTTCTTGCTTGGTATGCCCAGTTTCTTTTTCGATTCTTGTGCTCATAATTTTTATTATTCATGCTGGCTTTCTGGTGTCATTTGGTTTCAGGTAATGACTACAGAAATCTGGCGTAGTATGCAGTATAAAATATCAGATGTTATAGGGGAGGTGGCTTGGGTTATTTTTGATGAGGTACACTACATGCGTGATCGAGAAAGAGGTGTGGTTTGGGAGGAAAGCATTGTTATGGCCCCTAAAAATTCTCGCTTTGTGTTCCTCTCAGCGACGGTGCCCAATGCTAAAGAGTTTGCTGATTGGGTTGCAAAGGTACCAATGACTTGTTTTAGTTCCTTGAAGTTAATCGGTATGCTTGATGCTAGAAGCCATTTGATATGCTCACAGATATGATTTCCTACTTTAATAAAGTGACCGCTGAATCTTTACTGGGGCGGTTTTTAATATATATTTGGAATAATGGTATTTTTTGATTGCCTTTGGTCTTTTGTTTAAGACCTTGTTTATCATAATGATGTTGCTCAAGTATAGAAAATAATATAAAAACTTCTTCAAAAAAGGAAAAAAAAGAAATATAAAAAACAAACCTTGCTGCTTCATGAATTAGATAGTTTTTGCATGTGTTTAGATATGAGAGGATGACATAACAATGTTTTTGGATATGGGGAACTACAGAACATGTTAGGGTTATGTATTGAAGGGTCAAGGAGAAAGAGTGATCTTGAATTATCCTTGCTTTGCTGAGATACTAATTTTATGAAAGTTTAACCTGTTTATGCATCTTATGGTGGGATATTAACATGGTTTGTCATAGTGCAGGTCCATCAGCAACCATGCCACATTGTTTATACGAACTATCGACCCACTCCACTTCAGCATTATATATTTCCTTCTGGTGGTGATGGGTTATACTTGGTGGTTGATGAAAAAGGGAAGTTTCGTGAGGATAGTTTTCAGAAAGCTTTGAATGCTATTGTTCCGGCCAATGAATGGGATAAGAAAAGAGAGAATGGCAAGTATCAGAAGGGTCTGGTTTTTTGCAAATCTGGCGAGGATAGTGACATATTCAAGATGGTTAAAATGATTATTCAGCGGCAATATGATCCTGCAATATGTTTCAGCTTCAGCAAAAGAGAATGTGAATTTCTAGCAATGCAAGTATGTTCTATGCCTTCTGCTGAAGCTTATAATTTTTAAATGGTTATATTGCTGTACTACATGGTTGACAAACCAGCCCATGGGTTTCCTGATTTTTTCTCTGTTATATCTTCTTTTTGTATGGTCAGAGAGAAGAGAACATGCCATCAGCTTTTGACATGATATTTTTTCTGTAGCAGTATATTTTCTTCCATCAACCTTTGCACCAACTTTCCGTTGCCTAGAATTATATGGATTACTTATTTGATGTCATATGAGAACATTTATTTCTGTCTGAATACTGTGGTTCTTGGGTTAATAAGCTAACTGTTCTGCCTTTTCAATATGGAATAGATGGCAAAAATGGATCTTAACAATGACGCTGAGAAGGTGAATATTGAAACTATTTTCTGGAGTGCTATGGACATGTTGTCGGATGATGATAAAAAACTGCCCCAGGTGAGCATCTTATATCTATTCTTTATTATTGTTGCCGTATGTGAGATTTTATATGTGGTTACAAGTGAAGCACTAAGATTCTCTTCCTAGTAAGTACTACCATTGTTTTCTTTTCACCATGTATCCTTGTGTCTGGGATTAGGGGTTGAAATAGGTGCAGTTATGGGATAAGTATAATGTTTCATATATTTGATGTTTGGAAACAGTACTTACTAATGACTGATTGTTTATATTTGACATTGCAGGTTTTGAATATGCTTCCCCTATTGAAACGTGGAATTGGTGTGCATCACTCTGGTTTGCTTCCTATACTGAAAGAAGTGATTGAAATCCTGTTCCAAGAAGGATTCATCAAGGTAGGGAGAACCGAGTTTTTAATTGATTCGAAGAGTTATTCCTACTAGGAGAAGGATTTTAAGTTACTCCTTGACTTCATTCACTCCATGAAGAAGTTGATTAGCTTTATGTTTGCTTTTAAAGATCTCTGTCTTATGTCCTGAGATTTTTCTGCAGTTATGAAGTAGAGGAGAATGCTCAAGCTATGCAAACTTATTAAACCTTTGATAGATACTAATAGCTCAACTAAGTGACAGAATGATGCTTTGGTTATTAAGGCAGCCTTCTGTTTTTGGATAGAAAGTTCTCTTTCATAGTGGGGCCACACTCCTGTTTAAGTAGGAACCGACACTCCTGTTTAAGTGTCCAATGCCTGCTAAGGCTCTCCTTCGAAATATAATTTTTTCCATCATTCTATGAATGTGTCGGAGTAATATATATCATGTCTTTTTTTTTTTTTTTTTTTTTTTTTTTTTTTTTTTTGTTCCGGATTTCTTCTACCTCATCTCTAAGTACTTCCACAGAGATACGGTATTTGCGCACACACACATTTATCCTCTGTAAGAGACTTTTCTAAGCTTAATACTGATCATGTCGCTTTATATGATTTTCTTCTAGTGTTTGTTTGCCACAGAGACCTTCAGTATAGGGTTGAACATGCCTGCAAAAACTGTTGTCTTTACAAATGTTCGCAAATTTGATGGAGACAAGTTTAGATGGATATCCAGTGGTGAGTATATTCAGATGAGTGGTCGTGCTGGTCGTCGGGGAATTGATGAACGTGGGATCTGCATCCTTATGGTTGATGAGAAGCTTGAACCTCCTACAGCTAAATCCATGCTAAAGGGAAGTGCTGATGCATTACAAAGGTGCCAATTTGAATTCTTATTTAAGTCAAGACTTCTCTGAGTAAAATTACTTTCTTTTTCTTGGAGGATCAGAAATATGTTCTTTTTTCTATAAAGGAAAAAGAGATTGATTAATATTTATGTCGCGTTGATCTAGACTGCAAATAATGCATTGATGACAACTATACAACTATTTGGCACTACTGAAAAATGAACGATTGGTTAAATAAATGAGCAAAGCCGTTTTATCCTTGTCGTACTTATCGCTCCCTCCCCTCTACACACACAAAAAAGTTTTTTAAATCATCGTGTAGCACTTTCAACGCTGTATTTGACTCCTATGTTGTGTATATCAGTGCCTTCCATTTAAGCTATAACATGCTTTTAAATCAAATGCGGCGTGAAGGTGATGATCCCGAAAATCTGCTCCGTAACTCATTTTATCAATTTCAAGCAGATCGTGCAATTCTTGATCTTGAGGTTTGTCAATTGACTCAACTTCTGGCTCCCTCTCCCTAAAGGTCTTTTTGGGTTTTCTTTTTATTTTTCCTTTTTCTTGCCAGAAACAAGCAAAAATTCTTAAAGAGGAGAGAGACTCAATTGTGATTGAAGAAGGAGACAGCGTTGAGAGATATTTGAATCTGATAGAACAATATAAGAGCTTGAAGAGGGATGTACACAAGATTGTTTTCTCCCCAAAATATTGCTTACCTTTCTTGCAGCCTGGTAGGCTTGTATGCATTGAGTGTACGGAGGTTGGCGTTGATGTTCCAACCTTCTCCATCATGGAAGAGTTCACATGGGGAGTAGTAATTAATTTTGAAAGGGCGAAAGGTCTTTCTGAAGGTGAGATGCGATTTAATTGGACATTAGTTGGGTTATCTTGCTAGTTAGATTCTTAACCTTAACTTGAATGTTATGTTCAGATGATGTAAACAAAAAACCGGAGGATGCAAACTATACAGTAGATGTACTTACGAGATGTATAATGCAGAAGGATGATGTTGGTAGAAAGACAATTAAAATTGTTCCCTTGAAGAATGCTGGGGAACCAGCTGTTGTTTCTCTTCCTTTGTCCCAGGTAAACTCCTTATGCATATTTTGCTGCTAGCAATATCTGATTACACGTATTAAATTTTGTAATTGAAGATGATGAACTGCCACAACAATCTTGAAATTGTGCCAAGCCCTCATCCATTGTTCTACTATGAACAAATAACTTCTAACTTGCACAACCAAGGGTGTCACCTAACGGTCAATGAATTGGGATGAAAATCATGGAAAATTGGGGTTCAATCCAAATAGAGGCAAATAAATGCTAGGTGATTTTTTCACTCCTTGTTGGATAGAGTTACCCATACTTGTGCCAAGGAGAGGTACTAGGATTCTGACTTGATAGGAAGTCTTAGATTTTGATGTCACAGGCTTATAGGTGTTTTTCTTGAATAATGTGTTTCTAAAGTGTTGTTCAATTCAACTATTCAATAATTTAGTTGAGGGTTTGGTCATTTGCGGTGCAACTTTACTATCAATAAGGAAAAATTAAGGAGATTATTAAATCTTACCTTATCTACAAAAAAAATTAAGAGAACATTGAGAACAATAATGCTTCACCTTTTAAATTAGGTTTACATCCTCTTGTATTACCTTAACTGCTACCAAAACTATTATGGATGGAGTTATGGTGTAGAGGACGTCTTAACTGCTAGCACTCCGGGAACATCCTAGCCGTATGCCTGTTTCTTCTTTTGCAGTGTGATCACTTTTTCTAACTTTTTTCCTTCTCTTTCTGCATCTGATTTCTGGGGCTTGTCATAGATTTCGAAGATCTTTTCTATCTAATCATATGTTGCATGTTTCTGCCCTCTATTAGGCCGTGAAAGTGAAAATGTATAAATGGTAAATGACATCAATTTGCTTTCTTTTACACCGATAAAGATGCAAATTAAATTTTGTGCTTGTGTTCCACTTGTGTGGCGTACCTAATGTATTCTCTGCTAAACAATTTATTGCCAGATTGATAGTTTGAGCAGTGTCCGTCTTGTGATTCCAAAGGATCTTTTACCTTCGGAAGCTCGAGAAAATACACTAAAGAAGGTTTCTGAAGTTCTCAATAGATTTTCAAGAGAGGGCATGCCTCTCTTACACCCGGAAGATGACATGAAGGTCAAAA